ATAATAATTTCTGTTAGAGACTGAGCCGACCCCAGGGCCATAATGCCGCTGGAAGGATTAGGTCAATTGAAAACAATCCAATAACCTTATCGGGACTTGAACCCGCGACCTTCCTGCTTGTAGCATAGTGCCTCAACCAACTACGCTGCAGCTTAGAAAATGTTGTAACCTCAACATCTCACAACCCTATGGGTCTCCACGGCCTGGTACAGGGATACCTTTACTTTTATGTAATTTCAGTAGCTCAGAGAAATAATCTGCAAGCAGATCACCATTCTGATTTTTACCGAGTTACTTCTGCGGTGGTAACGTTTCTTAAATTCATCTATTCATCTATATAAGCCTGTAATGTTCTTGTTCTTAGGAATATTATACCGTAGCAGCATATTGTACTCGTATGTGTGAAACTTCTTTATTTTATTTCCTTACCACAAGAAGTAGCACGGACATAGCATACGCTTGTTTCTTGCAATGTTTCGGGTCCTTAAGCCGCCTTGTTCTTGCTGTTAGTTGCAAGCTCATTAATTTTGCATTTCAGATATCACGTCTTTTTGTTCCTGAAATGTCTACTCGCTTCACATCTTACGCTGTTCAGATAATTCCCGTTTGTCGGATTCTGTAACCATTGAAATTTGACTTGTTTCCTTTGATGTCATAGTTTCGAGCATCCTCCGTCGAACCATGGCTTACGCTGCTTCAATTCATAATTCTCTTTGGCTGAACATTTTTATGTTCAGTCTGCTAGTTTCCCAAGCTATACTGATATCCACATCATCATCATCATCATCTAACTTTTCAAAGACGTGAATCTCCTTGAGATTTTAAACTGGCACTGTTCTTTATCTTCTCTCTCTTTAGCTTCATAAGAGTTAATGTCTGCATATTATAGCAAGTGTCACGTAACTTCGAACAAGGCCAAGAGTAACCTTGAATGCGCAGAAGAAAAATTTCAGACAAATGGGTGGGTTAGAGGGTGCGAGAAGTGACAGGCGGCCAGTTGTGCACAACTGACCTCCTGTCACTTCTCACACCCTCTAACCCACCCATTTGTCTGAAATTTTTCTTCTGCGCATTCAAGGTTACTCTTGGCCTTGTTCGAAGTTACGTGACACTTGCTCTAAATGTTTGCGTTCTCTTGTTTATTTACTGCCAGTCTTTCCATAACTTCCCACCACTACAGGCTGCTTCTTTGAAAGGTCGAATATCAAGTACACTTGAAAGCAGTCTCCAATATACTGACAATGTGGTCGGTCTGATTGTATGTCTTTCCACCAGAACATGCCCAGGTGGGACCATTGCACTCTTTACTATTACACTTTTGAATGTGATGTAGTTTCTTGGTCTACCAACATTATCATCACTAATTTTCTGTAACCTCTTGCTCCAAATTGTTTGTTTGAAAATGTCTTCTCTAATTACTTTGGCATTGAAATCTCCTAACAGAATTTTCATGTAGTACTTCGGGAATTTATCGAATACATATTCCAGTTCCTCATAGCAGCTGACCTTCATATCATCATTTCTATCCTCTGTTTGGGGCATGCTCATTCGGAACAATTATATCACACCAGCGACCTCCTAGTGTTATATGTCACATCCTGTCGCTAAGAGTCTTCACCTTCTTAACTGCTGACATGTTTCTCTTCTGTATAAAAAAAATCCTACCCCTACTCCATGATTTTCGTTTCCATATCTGTAAAAAGAGGAGGATAATCTGCTGGTTCTTTGCCGCCTCCCACTGGGGTTGTAAAATGGGACAAGGGTGGCACTACGAATTTTATGACTGCTTCACGGATTATAAAAATAGATACTTAACGGAGACATGTTTAATGACAACCTATTTATCTAACTACGGCTCTGCAGTCCTTTTGTTGGACCTTTGGCATTTTTCGGTTTCTTAATCCTGTACACGGTAGGTAGGACTCCTTGGACCGGGGATCAGCCCCTCGCACGGCCGCTACTTACACACAGAACACGCAATCATTCATGCCTTGAGTGGGATTCGAACGCACGATCCCAGCGCTCGAGCGAACGAAGACAGTTCATGCCTTCGACATCACGGACACTGTGTTCGGCCTGACAGTATATTTATTTGCAGTATTTTCCCTTCTCATCGCTGTGTTTCATGCTGACCGACTGTGAAATGAATCTCACTCGGGGCTGCGTTGCCTTGATTGCGATCTCGCGATCTCGGAGTCAGTTTCGCAGTCAAACGCAGATTCAGTGTAGAATTTACTAGTGAATCTGCTTGGATAGAAATTAGAATTTGCGATGGTTTCAGCCTACTAATTGGTAACTAAGATTTCCCACCCGATACAAAAACCGACATCTTATAAAGTTATTTCATTGTTTAGAAAAAGTTTGGAATGCCGAAAATGTTCCTGGCTATGACTGGGAACGATGTTCACCTGTAAGTAAATGCCATCTTTATTCTAAATAAAAATGAGATGTGATTTATGCTTCCACTTGCTTTTTCCAGCTTGTTCAACAAGCGTGAAGTTGGAAAAAAATTGTTTGATCTTTTCTTTCTGCAACTCTGACGGCATAAAGATGAAAAATGCTCTTATGGTCGAGTGACACCTAGTCACTGCCACCCACCCGAACTCGTTGGCTTGCTAATACCAACCTGTGTATTGTCACAGAATAAGGGCGTTTGTGGGTATATGTTTCAAGGGACTACTTAATATACGAATTTTCAGCAAACTGTGGCTTAACTGGCCTATACAGTCAAACTGCTATTGATATCGCCGAAGACAACCTCAGCGCAGAAATATTATGCTTTAGCTCGACAAAATTGCATTACTTATTTTCGTAATAATAAATTTCCTCATTGATACTCTGGTAAGTTAAAATGTTACACGAGAAGGGGGGAAAAAATAAGAAAATAAAAAAAGGCTCTGAAATCCTGTACAGAATATTCTCTTATCACCGTAAATTACGGAAGTCAACCATAGAGTGTGACAGACATGCTTAGCCTAAATCAATAAATAAGCATTAATCCAAGGGGTTTTGGAATTTCGACTCTAAATTTAAGGAGGACAGAGACAGTTGTGCTCGATCTCAAGTTCGTAATATTCACCTAATTAAACCAAATGAAAGTTCTAATGCATTTTCTACTCGTATACAGCATGGTTATATAATATTATCCATTTTGATGTCGTGCAGTCGACGTAATGACGCTCCCTCCAGCTTTGTTAATAGCGGAGTTGTTTGCGAAGTATTCGACGGGCTGCGGCAAACGAAATCCGTCGGTTGGGTGGTATCCGTGGCGTTGTTGTGAAGAGCTGCTCTGAGATTTTTGCCCTTTTACTGAAGTTTACCTTTATTTTATGCAGATGTTTCCTGCTGTAAGGAAAAATGCAGTGACTGTTCTTATATTTAAAAAACAGCAGAGCCTCTGTTAGTAATTATAGGTCTACTGCCATTTTTCTAAGATGTCTGAATTTGTCATTCCTGAAAATATTTCCATCCTATTTTAAGAGCAAATGAAGTTCTCAGCATGGTTTTACCGAAACAAATTCAACAACTACGGATTTCGTCGCTATTACTCCCACTGTGTTCTCAAGGACGGTTGATTCCACCTAATTTGATCACAGCAATGCTTTTGCCGTTCCCTGCTTTTAGATAAGCTCAGTGGTTATTTGTGTGCTCATTATATTAATTGGTTTTGTAGTTACCTAACCGATACTTTGTGTTTGTTAGATTTTCTGGTGATTTTTGTAACTGCCAATCGCGCTTCCTGGCGTTCTTCAAGGTTCTGTTTTACGACCTTTGTTGCTCAGTAGATGCGTTACATATTTTTGTAGCAAATTTGTGTTGACGATATAAGAGTTTTTGTTGTATCACTTCTGTTGATGACTACTTTATTTTTCAGCCAGGTATTACCCCTGCAAAACTGATGTGCTGACTTTTGACCATGTCCTCTGTAACTCTGGTATTTTATATATTGATTATAATGATCTTATTGTTTTTCTTGACTGTATTTACATCAGAATGTTGATTATTTATTTTCTCATTCTGCGAAGTTATTAGACCTAATACGGACTATTACTTTCTCCTTTTTTCATTAATTTTTAGTTGCTTTACATCAGCCTAATCGGAAAGAAACTTGAATTATACATCTGCTGTCTGGAATTCTCTTACCAGCACTGATTCCAGGAAAGTAGAACGTTAGACAGATCCTTTATAAATCATAATTCATGTAGTTCTGTTTTAGATAACTTATAATTGCACAGTTTATTCGTGAGATGGTGTTATTCGACGCTGTGAAGTCCGATATGCAGAAAGAACCGTAAAATAAACCACGAATTAAAAGTAAATAATTACACAGCCTGCATTACGTCACGACGGCATGGCAGTGGTTTATGGTGAAACATGATTAAAAGAACAACAAATCACCTATTCATGACGTTGTCATTACTGTTTTATGTGAATCTGATTTGATCTCATGTTTTAATGTGTATGGGCAAGACCATATTCAGAGGACCATTTCTGAGGCTCACGTAGCCCTGATATGTCTGGATGTCACGAAAATTCTGTCCCTCTGTCAACATTTGTAACTAGTTAAGAAAGGAAGAGGTCGCGCCATGGCTCAAGCGGTTAATCGCTGGCTTCCCATCGCGGCGGACCGGATTCGAACCCAGGTCTGGTCAAGTGGGATTTATGGTGGACAAAGTGGCGCTGGGGCAGGTTTTCTCCGGGTACTTCGGTTTACCCTGCCAATCTTCATTCCACCAATTGCTCCACAATCGCCCTCACCTATCATCTGGGGCTGGTACCATAGGCCAGAAGTGGCCGCAGTACAAGGGACTTGGTCTCACCCCACTAGCAATAAAAAAAATATGAAAGGAAGATTTCATGATGAAGGAGCCATTATTTATATTGGAATTACCTCTGATTTTTAGTCTATGTGATAAATGGGTTGTTCTTGATGAGGTTTTTAAATGAAACAAATGATTCACTGCTGTGCAGTGTATGACATGTGGCATTGTCGCTTCCAGAAGAGGCAGGTCTCGCGGCAGTTGCGGAAAGGAAGCGTCCTGAAGACCGGACGGAGGCAGACAAAATGGCGTTGCTTGGGCGTCCCAGGTTAGGAGACATCACGCGAGCACAAATCCGCATCAAGGAAAGCAAGGAGTTCAAGGTGAGAATATCTGAAAATTTTCTCTTTTTCTATTTCAAGAAAAGTCAAGCACCAAGACTGTTTGCGTAACTGTACACTAATTTGGACAGAGGTGAAACGCTGCTATTGAGATAAAATATTCTGAAACATAAGTCTTGTAATTATAACAATCTATGGACATTAAGAGAGAGAAAAATATGACTGAATAGTTCTGAAGATTCTGTACAGAATAACCGCTTTACTAATGTAAACACAGGGAGCCCAAACGACCATGCCATCCTCATGAACATGTGGAATAATCTACTGATTACAGAGTTCTTTTGTCCTAGATGTATTATTGAGATACGTACGCCAGTGTTTCATAATGTTAGAGGTTCCAGCCATTCTGCTTACGAGTATATTAGTTATGCAGCTCAGCCCTTCTGGAGGAGCCGCCAATTCTGCAGCTACTCAAGAATTTCCCAGCATTTTATGGAACCCGAATGTTCATTACCATGTTCACAAGAGCCCTCCACTGGTCCCTATCCTGAGCCAGATCTATTCAATCCATACCATCCCATCCTATCTCTCTAAGATCCATTCTATTATTGTCCACCCACCTACGCCTTGGTCTTCCCTGTGGTCTCTTTCCTTCTGACTCTCCCACCAATATCCTATACGCATTCCTCGTCGCCCCCATTCGTGCTACATGACCTGCCTACGTCATCCTCCTTGACTTAATCATTCTAATTATACTTGGAGAAGAGTACAAGTTATGAAGCTCCTCATTATGCAGTTTTCTCCAACCTCCTGTCACTTCATCTCTCTTTGGTCCAAATATTCTCAACACCCTGTTCTCAAACACCCTCAATTCTGCTTATATTACGAAGATTAATGTGTTCAACTTATCATAAAACATTGAAATCTCCTTTCTGCACGAGTTTTATGATCACGCTCGCAGTTTGTTGCATATTTTGTTTTAGGCATCAGTATTAACAATTTTGTAAATACTTGCATTGTTCATAGTGCGTTATAGTTAGTATTCAACTAAGCAGCTGATGGCCGTTTTACAAGAGTAGTTTATAGTAAAATGTGTAAAAGTAATACCACGACTCAGAAGTTAGTTGATCCGAAATGGGACAATTAGAAAAGCTGACCACATTATGATGCTTCAGATCTTTGTAGAGAGCAACAGATAATTTCAGCCATTCACCTTCCGCCTTGAAAAATATGAATTATCATCAGCAACAGCAACAGCAGCAGCAGCAGCAACGACAAGTCCTGAAGACCTGTTCCAATCATATAGGAATCGTCATCGATTTCCCTCCTCCTATAAGAATTGCGAGTAATTAATTCTTGTAAAGGGGTTATCAGCCCCCGCAAATCCTCTGTCCTGGAGGGCTATGAACTATAATTTGGGGCTGTTCAGCTCCTAGTGGAGTGAATCTCAGAACTCAAGAGTGATGAGATGTAAAAATATGGTCATGGAACCCGCGGGGTCTGGAACCAAGATTGACTGTGCTGGCGAAGGTCAGCAGCAATTTACCCTAAACCGGAACCTAGTGGAGTTTCCTACACTACGGCTAACGAGCAGAACAAAAAAGGCACAAGTAACTCTTCTTTACGATTATAAAGCACCTGGCATACTCATTCATGCAGACCATTCGCATTCAGCACAGTTTCAGTTGTGGTGATTAGTAACTCATTTCGTTTAAAACCTGGTTTCCTTTACATATACTAATTTAGGTTTAGAACAACCTCCATAATTATATGCATTGGAATTGGTGGAAGATATCTCTGGAATTTGTTTACTGAAAGGAAACTTGTGGCAAAGTACAGAACCCACAGGACAGTGTAGTTAAATTCGAAATAAAAGTATCGTTGAAACTCCGTGGTTTTAGTCCGCAAACGAACTATACCGACCGAGCGACTGCCGCTTGTCAGCGGAGTTAATGCCAACTTAACGGATAGAGGGTGTCACGTGGTCAGCGCAACAAATCCCCACGGTCGTTATTCTCGGTTTTATAGACAGGAGCTGCTACTTTTCCATTCAAGTAGTTCCCCAATTATCGTCACGAGGCTCAGTGGACCCCGTTCCAGACCCACTACTTCTCAGAAAATTCGGTAGCGCCGGAAAGCGAACCCAGAACCTCTTGATCTGTAGCCAGGAACTCTGGCCACTAGACTATAGAGGCGGTGAAAATATCACTAAAATAATTAATATTGTTGAAATATCTATCGAAATTACTTACACGAAGCAAAATTGGAAAAATTAATTCAATGTAAGAGACAAAAGAAGTACACATATGTAGGTTTTAAATAAGATATAAATATTTGTAAGGTTCCGAAGGAAATAAATAAACTGGAAGCATTTTTAGACGTAAATAAACGACCAAACGACCACAAGAAATGATCAGCCTGTTGTCTTCCGTATGGGATGGAGTAAACAGACCATAAAATCCTGTTCAAGGTTCCGGAAAGGTATATTGCACTAAAAGTACTGCGTCTTGAGTTAAAATATTTACATTGCCAGTACATGCTATTTCCATTTTGGTCAAGGAGAAGAGACGTTATGGCGACAAGTTTAGTGCCCAAAATTACCTATAGGCTTACGTGTTATTTCGGTTCGGATTGAGTTGTGTAAAGTTTGTCTGCAATATTAATATTCAAAATTATTTCGACGTATAATTTCCATTTTTGGTCAAGTTTAAAAACTATTATTTTAATATTAATGCCCCAAATGATGTATGCATTTAATTTGTATTTTGGTCAAAGTGCTTTTCAGTTCGCCTTCTTGTTTACATGCAAATTAGCTACTAATTACAATGTTCCAGTGATCCCCGGGGTATGTCCCATCTGTTCCTCCCATCTCATTCGATTCATAGGGCAGAAGTTACTGATTTCAGTCTTGCTAAATTTTAGAGCGACATCGTGTGTGTGCATGCTTCCGCCCAAAGGGGGTGGAAGGGTGTAAATTTTACTGAATTTTTAGGCTGAGATCGCAAGTGTTCTTGTTTCACATGAACTTTCCTCGAAGTGCATAAAAGTAGCGCATAATGAAGAGATTATTTTTCCGTCCTTCGTTTCATCTCCGAAACGTTTTAACGAATTTCCATTAAATATGGTAGTAGGGAGTCCTAACTGAAAATTGTTGGATAACTAAAATGTTGTATACCGGCTGATCTGTTTTGCATGAAACTCAGATTGAACTTTTTCGTTTTCCAAAAAACTGCTCATCATGCAAGAAATTATTAGCATGATGACTATCCCATTGAGATGAACAGATATTTTTCGAACATTTGCATAATGAATATTCCTATCTCAATGTACAGGGAGATTATGTTGAGAAATAAAAGCATTTTTCAAATCAGTACTCTTATTTGTTTAAGTTCTATATCCATTTTAACTTACTTATTGACTTACCCTCGTATCTATCAGCCTACATGCCTGCCTGTCTGTCTATCTATCTATCTATCTGTCTGTCTGTCCGCCTGTCTGTTCTGTCTGTTCTGTCTCCCTGCTTAATGTTAGACAATCTGTAGGACTCCTTCTGGACAGAAGAGCCCGCCGCAAGGCCGCTCTCTGCGCGAACACAGAAATAAAAGCAGACATACATCCATGCCTTGAGTGGAATTGGAACCCACGATCCCAGAGTTCCAGCGGGAGAAGACATTTCATTCCATAGACCGCGCGGCCGCTGTGATTGGTTTAGTGAATATTTAACGACACGAAATTAAGCACAGTTTACAACGCAATGCAGAGTTGTATCCATTGTGGAGTTAGCTTTGCAATGTAGGTTTATCTTGATAAGAATGCGAAGATCACGGGTGTAAGCTATACAAAATAGCAAAGAAAGCATTTTGAAAATGATGATATGCACAATGTCTCTTTTGTCTTTTCCCTGCTCCTACTCTCGGGCAACTTTTCCATGAGTTCCAACACATTGCATTTATGTTACAGAATACCGTTGATAAGCTTGTCCAGAGAGCAAACGCTTCAATTCTCATAGGGACGTCGTCTTGGAAAGAACAGTTCATTGAAGCTATCACCGTCAGTCCAGGTAAGTTCTTGCGCCGACCAAGTGCGGCTACCCGGAACATGGGGATATATATCTTTGCTGTCAATGAGTCACGCCGTGTCTCCTACTGATTAGTGCCTGTGATTTTTTAGAACTCTTCTACTCCATCGGTGTTACACTGTCTGCACGTAAACCTCTTAAGTAAGTTGGGTCTTGGGACTTTGCTCAAGAAATTCCACGCCATTTACGGGACCCAAAAGGTTTATTACAGTGCTCACAAGAACCTTACACTAGCCCCTATACTGAGCCAAATGAAATCGGTCCACAGTTACAGGACTTATTTCTTTATGATACAAGTTAACAGTATCCTTTCTTTTGCTACTAGGTTTCCCGAGTAAGCCCTTCCTTTAAGAAGAGATTCCAAACGCATGTAACATTTCAGCCTGTAATTCTGTACTGAAACGCATCTTAGAGAAATAGAGTGCGAGGGTGTGAAATGTATTTCTGTGATTCAGAACAGGATCAGTGACAGGCCTTTGTGAACACAGCGATGAACCTTCAGACTACATAAAGAGCCATAAATTTCTTGACTGACTGAACACCTCTGAACTTCTGAAGGAGGACCCTCATTCATGAAGTCTGAACGTCTAAAATATTAAAAAAGAAATTATTTCAGCATATCAGTATAATGAATTAGGCACATTTCCAGCTCGTTTCCTTTCAAGAATGAAGTTCATTTGATTATTATACAAAAATTTAATCCCTACCTCACAGGAATTTCGTTAAAAAGTTAATTCTGTTTAGGAAAATACTGGTTGTCTTTTTCTGAGAATATTTAAAAACAAATGCGCACTATGTACATATTTCAGGCGTTTAGTGTTAACACAGGTTGTACATATAGTAACCATTCTGCTATAATTGGTTAAATGGAAGTATGGCCGTACAATATGCTTGTAACCGAAAGAAATACGAGTATAGTGTCACTCGAACAAATCTTGCTGCCATTAGTCGATTGTGACAGTGACATTTAGTTTCATCATAATAGGCCTGTTATGCCATCATCGTCAAGTAGTGGTGTACTATCCCAAACTGCTAACACCATTGTTATGCCATAGCGCTTTCAATGAAGAAGGCGGATACGTCGGTGGGTGGGTAGGAACATGGGAACATCTCGGGTACGGCGTACCTGAGCTGCCTCCAGTCTGTAGCTGGGAAGGTCTGCATCCTGATCTAGTTAGCTACATCTGTCCACAGCTGCTCCCTCTACCCCTGCTAGCCGGTTGGCCTCTCAAAAAGTCAGTATGGGCTGGGGTCCTTTCAAGGCATTGGATTCGAGTACAGGGTATCTGGAGGGTCTACACCTAATTTAGTATATTTGCACTGGTTGCTGCCACAATACGGTCTCTAACCATAAATGTACTGCATCTCTTCGGTGAAGGGGTACCGGAATAAGCATGAAGCACAAGAGTGTGTCCATTTACATTATTAGTAATATCTCACAGCGTTTACAATTGTGCGTCTGAAGTATATTGAACTTGTTAATGCCATCCTATTCGTCCTACACATCCTAGGTCGGGCCCGACTCATACTCTCTGGCTATCAGATTACACAATGTGTGTACACTTACTCAGTAAGGCTGGTGCAGCTGCTCTGCCGATCCCATGGTGTTGCTAGATCGGGCCCTACTCTCTGGCTATCTGATTACACAGTGTGGCTACACTTACTCAGTAAGGCTGGTGCAGCTGCTCTGCCGATCCCATGGTGTTGCTAGGTCGGGCCCTACTCTCTGGCTATCTGATTACACAGTGTGGCTACACTTACTCAGTAAGGCTGGTGCAGCTGCTCTGCCGATCCCATGGTGTTGCTAGGTCGGGCCCTACTCTCTGGCTATCTGATTACACAGTGTGGCTACACTTACTCAGTAAGGCTGGTGCAGCTGCTCTGCCGATCCCATGGTGTTGCTAGGTCGGGCCCTACTCTCTGGCTATCTGATTACACAGTGTGGCTACACTTACTCAGTAAGGCTGGTGCAGCTGCTCTGCCGATCCCATGGTGTTGCTAGGTCGGGCCCTACTCTCTGGCTATCTGATTACACAGTGTGGCTACACTTACTCAGTAAGGCTGGTGCAGCTGCTCTGCCGATCCCATGGTGTTGCTAGGTCGGGCCCTACTCTCTGGCTATCTGATTACACAGTGTGGCTACACTTACTCAGTAAGGCTGGTGCAGCTGCTCTGCCGATCCCATGGTGTTGCTAGGTCGGGCCCTACTCTCTGGCTATCTGATTACACAGTGTGGCTACACTTACTCAGTAAGGCTGGTGCAGCTGCTCTGCCGATCCCATGGTGTTGCTAGGTCGGGCCCTACTCTCTGGCTATCTGATTACACAGTGTGGCTACACTTACTCAGTAAGGCTGGTGCAGCTGCTCTGCCGATCCCGTGGTGTTGCTAGGTCGGGCCCTACTCTCTGGCTATCTGATTACACAGTGTGGCTACACTTACTCAGTAAGGCTGGTGCAGCTGCTGTGCCGATCCCATGGTGTTGCTAGGTCGGGCCTTACTCTCTGGCTATCTGATTAAACAGTTTGGATACACGTAGTGAATACTAGTGAAGACAGCACCACAAGCTGCTACAGGGAACAACACACAAGCAAGATATTGCAGGCGTAGCAGGACTCTACCCCCCACTAAGCGAAATTTTAGAACAGTTCTCCCTGCTTCCAATTTCGAACCATGAAACAAATTATAGTCTAAAATGTATCTGTCAGGTATTCCCTTGTTAAGGTCTTGAAAGGCATTCGACAGTTTCAGCCCCCCTGTGAAGAGCTAGTGATGTTGCGGAATATTAACCAAGTTGTAATTTCATGATGCGTATTTATTGACCGTCTTCTAGTGCACACAATCTCACTTGTCACTTCACTACATGTTTCGGCATCACTGTGCCATCCTCAGGTGTGTTATTTACATTAAACTATTGCACTACTCGCCATCATGTATCGTTTGTAAAATGATTTAAAATGTATATTCGTCATGTACTATAATAAAATTTATATATTAAAATTTTGTTAAGATTTATCATCTTATACGTCGTATTTCAAACTCGCGTATTGTATCAATCTTCCGCTATGGGAGTCGTTCTTCCTATATTTTGTGTATACTGCGTCTTGTGATGTGTCCTTCTCTTGTGGCTGCCACACCTGAGGATGGCACAGTGATGCCGAAACATGTAGTGAAGTGACAAGTAAGATTGTGTGCACTAGAAGACGGTCAATACATACACCATGGACGTGAATCATTGCAACAGGACGCTAAAATACAACATTATTAAGTTGTAATTTCACTAGACATATGTGGATATTTAGTGACAACAGAGAATGTGACATATACTATGTTCATTCCTGTGAGCGTGAATTCTTTTCATTTGTAATTTAGCTCTTGAGTAGACTAAGCAGCCCTCTGTGGATGCTAAATTCTGTGTAGGCATCCCTTGTTTTGTATCTGGAAGGAACAAGAAGGCTGTTATTGATTTCTCTTATACTGCTCCATTTATATCGCTTCCTTCCTTGGAGTCCGATCACAATTGCCTTCAGTGCACCTTTGTTTCCGCATGAATTTGGACGCTGACGCTCAAGCAGCTGCTGTAGATCTGTCTTTTCATCTTTACTTCATATCAGTGTGGTGAAAGAGAATCCGGCTGGAAAAGTTAAAAACTGGATGAACGCCAACTACGTTTTGGCATCCTTCTTACTTTCTTGGAGTGTGCGTGGAAGTTTATATCCATATTTAAAGCTTAAAAGAAGACCGGAAAACTGAAAAGATTTTCCTTGCACTTGACATGTCGTGAACCCAAGAGGTCAGGAACTGTTAAACACATTGCATCGCCCTACGTCTTAATGGAAATGGAAGTTTTCCATCTGCAGAATGTGTTTTAAAACTCCTTATGCCAATTCATTTGATAGAAAATAAGAAATTGAAATAATAAAAAGCAAACATAGAAACAGATTTTGCTAACTTTACACTTAGCCGTATGTTAATATTTCAGTACCTATGCCAGTTGGTACTCTGTCAACGAGACGTATTAAGTGTTTCGAATATGCGTTAAAATTTTCTCGGGCGATCAGCTGTGTAAGAGTTGAACAGGGTGGATAATGGAGACCGAGGAAATCTCTGAAACTTAGGTTTTTAGTTCAACATTGACACGGCTGATAGCCGGATACAATTTTAGTGCATGTATTCGCCATGAAAGCTTCAAATCTTACATCATTTGAACATGCTAATCTTATACATTTTGTTCATAAAGGTATTGTGACATATAGACCCGTTGCTAGGCAATGACTCGGTAAACACATTCCCGCGGGAGCCAACGGTCGAAACAACAGGACCAGTAAACACACCTCCTTAACAATAGAGGTTGTATTTTCTGCGTGATCCGTGTAAAGTGGTCATAAAGAAGGGTTCAGTTGAGAAGAGTTAGTTGTTTCCAGGAGTTGAGAGAGCTCACTTGAGAGTAGTAGTTGTCAAGAATTTTGTAGAGTTCTGGACATGGCAGTCCAAGATGACTGAAAAGAAAGGGCAAGGAATGAATTAGACTGTGCAAAGAAGACTTCGTGTGTGATTTGAAGTGACAGTGACACTGTTATAAATCCGTTGCCAGGACACCACTAGTGAAGACTGAGAACCCTGGTGCTTGTGTAACGGTGAACTGGGAGTGTGTAGAATAGCGATAGCACTGTAGTTTCTGTAGTCCCGAGTTCTAAATGTTTAAGGTGCACTAAATCCAATCATCCAATCCAGAAGCCATATTATAAGTCACCCTTACACGTGACAATATGATGACCAACAAACTGCCTCCATGGAACTGAGCCCCTTTTGAGACCCCGCTAGTCGCTCAGCTACTGCTCAATATCCTAACATTTTAAGGAATCCGAAGTGGAATTGTCGTGTTCAAAAGAACCTTCCACTTGTCCATATCCTGAGCCAGATCAATCCACTCCCTACCGCCTCATCCCACGCCTCTAATATCAATTGTAATAATATCATCCCT